AAAGTTCAAAAGTAAACATCTGCTGTTACAACCAACAGAAAACAAAATGTCACTTTAAAAGGAATCCAAGCTCAACAGTAATGTAAGGAGGTGAGATACTTGGAGAAGGAAGCTGGACAAGAGACGAATGAAAAAATAGGACTGAGGATTATTATCTGTATTGTGGTTGACTTTAAAATGTTTTTTAGTGCTCTATTTGTGTTTTTACAATGGGAAATATTTGAATATGCTTGAATGTTAAAAAGTCAGTAGAAAGGGAGAGATTGAAGATGCAGGGGAAAGAAAAAAGGAGATAACTCTAAAAAGATGAAAGCAAATGGGATGCAGAGAACAGGTGACAGAGAAAGAGAGACATAGCTTCCTTTCAAAGGGAATGAAGGAAGGAAGAATGGGGACAAGAAGCTAGAGAAGCTCTTGTCTTTTGACCTCCATCTTTGAAGAAGAAGGTGAGGTCAGCTGTTGAGAGTGAGCCGGAGGTGCAAGGACTTAGACCCTTCAGTTTTCCCTGCATCTCTGCCTCCATTTGCTCCTGTCACCTTTGCTCTGAGTTAACCTTGGATTCCAGGAACAACAGGTCTGATCCATAAAAATCTTCTGATGTATTGAAACTGCCCACCAGACAACAGCAACTTTCTTATTGCTGACAAGTCCCCACCTGACCCATGCTGAGGTAAGAAATGGACCTGACCAGGTCTGATCAAGATCACCTGCTTTGACAGCTGTGCTAAGCCTTCAATTCTGCAAATCCCCAAACCTTACCCTCATTTCTCTTTCTACAAAACCTCAAGTCATTTTCAATCCCTTGATAACAGGGCTAAAAACACAAGACTCTTTTACTTCCTAGCATAGCTACACTGATTAAAGTTCTTTTCATGCTTTTCATCATTAACTTTTTCTGTTTGATTTTGGAGGCCATTAACTTGACCTGATTTGTTGGATTACCAGAGTCAGGCCTCTAGCCTAGGTCTCTGGTAACAGGTAGAGTCACATATTTAATGGGAGAGGAGAAGGTTTTCCATTGCTCCTGTGATCAATGCAAAAGATCACCGAAGGAGACGTGGAATGATAGCCAAGAGACTTTGAGACCCACCGAGGCTGGAGCTCCTAAGGAATTGTTTGTCCTGGCTGCAGGGCTGGAAGGCTTTCCCCAAGTTAATCAGCCATAGCAACATGACCGCAAGGAATGCAGCAGCTGGGATTCCCCCAGTGGTGAGGTTTCTTGCCTGGTCAATGCAGTTGTGAGAAAAGGACTGGAAATGTGTGGTTGAGAAGACAGACCACACACTCTACATAATATAAGAAAGGAAACAAAGGCTGCAGGGATCTGATGAATTTGGATAGGAAAAGAGCTGAATTTTCTTTCTGATTCTGGTTGACCATAAGAGTCATATAACTTTATCCCAGAGAGTTTCCATATATTATCAGTTTAAGTCTTTCTTATGGGAGAAACAAGTTCAATCCCAAAATAGACGTATGGTTTTAAAGTAAAACGAACCTTATTTTCTCACTAGTGGTTATAATCTTCATAGTATTTATAACTTTTTCTGTCCCTTCCATAATGCCTTCTAATCTAGGCTCTCTAATGATAATAACAGCTAATTAATTTTAAATAACATATGTGTCAGGTGCAATGCAAAATGCTTTACAGGAGCAATGTCATTAAAAAGAACGCATAAGTTTACCCTTTTATTCTAGTGAGGAAGAAACCGAAACTTAAAAAGGTGGGTATTTGTCCAACTAATTAAGCATCATAGTACAGGAACTCAAATACTGAGCCATCTGACTACACAGCACACACTCTTTTTGGTTTTGTTTTTTACAGTACTGAGGATTGAACCCAAGGCCTTGTACATGCTAGGCAAGGGTTCTACCTCTGAGCTACATCTCAGCCCATAGCACATGCTCTCTCCATAAGACTATGTTGTGATTCAATGAGACAGGGCAAAGGGGCAGATCAATACATGACCATTAACTGGATAATGCATTAGTAAGTGATGATAGAGAAATCATAGCAACACAGATTTTTTTTGGTGGGGGGAGAGTACTAGGGATTGAACTCAGAGGCATTCAACCACTGAACCACATCCCCAGCCCTATTTTTTTGGATTGTCTTTAGATACAGGGTATCATTGAGTTTCTTAGCATCTCACTGTTGCCGAGGTTGGCTTTGAACTCACAATACTCCTACTTCAGCCTTCTAAGCCACTGGGATTACAGGTGTGTGCCACTGCGCCTGGCTCAAAACATAGATCTATTAAATGCACTTTATTTCTCCTTCATCGGTCCTTCAGAGAGAATTAGATGTTAAACCCAGAGATTTTATGCCCATGAAAGATGAACAATGGGGCTAGGGATGTAGCTCAAGCGGTAGTGCGCTTGCCTGGCATGTGTGCGGCCCGGGTTCGATCCTCAGCACCACATACAAAGAAAGATGTTGTGTCTGCCGAAAAACTAAAAAAATAAATAAATATTAAAAAAATCTCTCTCTCTCTCTCTCTCTCTCTCTCTCTCTCTCTCTCT